TAACTTTTTACTTATTTTAAATTTACTTATTTTCTTTTTTAATTTAATTTTAAGATATTTTTGTTAGAATCAAGATTTCTTTTGATATGTAATTTTTAGAAACTTATTTTTTTACTTGTTTTTAACTTTTTTGCTTTTCGAATCCTCGGGCGGATTTTTCTTTTTTCTACTTATTTTTTTTTTTTAATTTAATGTTCTTTTGATTTTGAGATATTTTGTTTTATAAAAGAAAAAATAGGTTCATTTATGTAATTTTGTTTTTAGAAAACATACATCATATGTATCTTTTTATTTTTAAATCTAATAAATTTTTTTTATTTGATTTTCACTTAACTGTAAAATTTTATTGTTTGCAAAATATTATTTAATTATAATAATTTTTATTAATATTTTTATTGAGCTTTGTACCACGATTGTTTATTAGGAAAAATTGAACAATAATTTTTCTTTGTATGTTTTTTTATTTTTTTTAATAAAACTTTTTTATTTTAAGACTGTTTTAAAAATAAAAAATATATTATTTCATTGTCATTTAATTTCACCAACTCATTTATGTATCGTTTTACTTTTATAAACTTAATTTCATTTTTTTAGTTTTCTTTTAATTTTAAGATATGTATTATTGTTTTAAAAAGAAAAACATTTTTTCTCAAATAATTTGTAGAAACTTATTTGTGTATTTTTTTATTTATTTGGAATTTACATATTTTTTGCAAAGAAACAATTTTTTTTGTTTAATTTTTAGAAACATTTTTTTTTTGTTTTTTAATTTTTTTTGTTTGCTTTTTAATTTATTTTTATTTATTTTATGTATTTATTTTTGTTTTTTAATTTAATTATTTTGAAGAAAATTTATTAAAATAAAATTTTTTTTTTTAATTTTTTTATATATATATTTTTTATTTTATTTAATTTCTTTTTATTTTTAGCTAAAATTTTTTTTAGTTTTCACTTTTTTACTGGTAAATATGCCGCTATATTCCGAAACAAGGCCTTTGCAATCGCCAGGGCCATTGACTTCGCGAAGAGGTGGGAGTTTAGGTGGCTGCAGTGACAGCTATGTTGTATTCAAGGTATGTGTCAGCCCTCTACCTAAGTCCAATCCAACTTTGGAAATGCAAATATCAGCTAAATTATGTTGTTTTACTCTGGGGTAACAGGCCACGCGGGATCACCTTATAATGAAACAACTTACAGTTTAGTTAGAAAGTACTCGGTCTAGGTATATATCTGCCCAAAATCAGTTACAGACATTGGGTTAGCTCAGTAATGACTGAAAGGCTTCGTGTTTCATTTCATACATAAGATGAGACTTTAGAAATCTAGTAGGTTTCTGGACTGGCCACTTTTCTCGTCTTCAAGTATTTGACTGTTTGAGGTTGTTATACCATTGGAGCTATCTGTGTAAAGATCTACGACGTAGATGGATCGATAAGATAGCAAAGCAAAGAAGTCAAAGACTACAATACGTTTAACTGTAACCCGATTTTTTTAAATACCGCGAAATCCGATTAGACCTTACTGCTCCAAAAGTCACTTCTGAACCGCCTTTGATGTACATCACCTCTGCATGGGCTATATGTACAGTATTTATTTCCCTAAGTTAATTAGCCGCTTATTGCTTATTATCTAAGTTAAATCAAAACTATTTTTATATCAGCAGAGCAGTCGATTTAATTTCACATAACTTTTACTTCAACTCAATTCGTCAAATTCTATTTGTCTGGTGGTTTTCCATCAGTTACTGTTTCATTATCAACACATCTGTCTTCTTTGCTCAATACAATTTCGCTTTTGCAAACAATTTCGCTAACAAGTGGCATTCAATTTATTTTATTCAATTTCAATTCGCATCAATTTTAGTTTAACTTGTCAAAAACTTTATTGCGCACTTAGTGAGGGCTCGATAGCATCATGGCCAGTATTAGGAGTTAAAGTTAAGCTGAAAATAAAATATAGGACATTTTCTTAGAATAAATACCAATTTAGGATACGCGTACAATATGTAAGGCGATGTAATGTTATAATTAACAACATAATTCCTGTAAATTTTTTTCATCGGATATCGGATTAATTATTTAGGTAAATCGTATACTAGATTATATATTTAAATTGATGCTGAACATTCAAAATACTACGTAGGTTTCTGCTAATTTTTTCTTAACCCACTGAGACTTATGTGGTAGTCCGGCAGATTACGAAGGTTCGACAATTTTCCTGAGCTTCTATAGCATTGATTACTAAAAACGCCTATTTTTCGAAATATAGTTTAATTATATATCATATTTCATTAATCCATATTTAACATATTGATAGAATTTCCAGTTCAAATCGAAAAAAAAAATATTAATAAATATCAAAGATATATATTTTGATCTGGAAAATTGGTATCTGAGAGACTACACGTCAGTAAAATAGCGAAATTTCGGTCGTGGGTTGAAGGGTAGAGGGTTAAACTTTTCGAGACTATAGGTATAATATGGCTCACCGAATTGCCAACTTTCGTTTTTTTTTATTTAAAAGTCCAGCTCTCATTTGAAAAGGGTAACTAAGAAGGTTAGCGTTGTTATGGAGAGCCATTATAGGAATCGGTAGGGTGATTTGAAACCCTCCTACTCTTTATTGAACTTCAAAATTTGGCTCTGCTTTCACCCGCACCCCCTAAAATAAAGAGGAGACAAACTGCAGTTTGGTTGTATTATAATTGCACTTTTACATGGATGGTTCAAAGCTTGACAAAAGGGTCTATGGAAGAGTCTAACTACATTAATAACCAATTCGAGTTTTGAGACTTATTTTTACATATTTAAGGTGTGTTAAAAATTAGTTGATAATAGCGTAATTACCATTTATAACATCTGGACTAAGATTGTACAGATGGGTCTTAGGATATCCCAAAATCTCTGGTTAGGGACAAGAAATGATTCAATCAATATATATGTGCAACCCAATGTGAACAGAATATGGACAATGGAGCAAGTATCGATTTCCAACTTGTCCACATTTGTCGTAGCTTTTTGAAGAATTATTACGTAGATCCATCTTAACACTTTTTCTTAGCTAACTAACTTTGACGAGGTTGGAACCTAAACAGCCCTTAGAAGATGTATGCTTAATTATTTACAGTTCAAAACCAAGTGATATCGCACCAATTTTTAGTATTCCGAAAATTCACACCTACATTTGAAAATACATTCTTTTAAGTAAATAGTTATAGTTATAGTTTTTGTGTGCTTTAATTTACTGATATTAGGTTGATTAAAACTGAGATCTGTTGGAAAAGTACTTGAACGGAGAAGTTGAGGTCAATGAACTGTGAGCAAACAAAAAAAGTTTCCCCTCAATACAAAAATAATCGGTATATCATACTTTAAGATCCGACTGTAATCGCCGCGGATATAGCGAAAAAAAAAAAAAAAAATATTTTGTCTCGAAATTCCCACCAAAAATACTTTGGACACAGGGCTGTCATATCTTGTCCTAGGACTAGAAACCAGATTATTTATTTCTTCTTACATCTCCAGATATCTCTTAATAATGTTAAGTTTATTTCAAAATCTTTCATAAAAGGTTTAGCACATTTTTCTGTTACTATCCACAGCAACTTTCTACTGGCTAACTTAGTTGGTTTGGATCGTTTGCTCTCCTCTGGCATCCAACCACTTTGGCATTGTTTTTTTTGTAATAAATACGAACTTTTTTTAACATTGTTTGACACTTTTGACAAGCTTTCTTGTTTCAATATACTTGCCACAAAGAAAGCGAAAACCAAAAGCAAAGCGAAAACAAAAAAGAAACAAAAAGCCACCACACATAGCAACAAGCAGAGTAAGGACGCAGCAACCATTTGTACATTATGGTGGTCCAAAAATACATTATAAGCTCGCACCCACAAGGATAAATGGAAAAGAGAATGCCTGTATTTTTTTGTTTAAAAAAAGAAGATATTTATAACTGCCTCAAAGCCGATTAAGTCTTCCATGTACATACATATTTTAAATGGGGGAAGACACTTTTTCGTGGAAATGGTATAGAATCCTTGAAGATCAATATCTACTTTTCCAATGGAAAGACTTTCACTAAGAATACGAAAATGTTTATTTAACCATTTTTTAATGATAACTATTTTTTATGGGTCCCTCAAAGATCTCAAAAAATGCTATGGGGGACCCATTAAATTCGTTCGTATTGAAAAATTTCAAAATAAAGAGTTTTGTATAATTACTAGAAATCTCTTCAAGATAAGAAGACTTTTGCCATCGCAAAATATTGATTTTCCAGAATTCTAAACCATTTCTAGCAAAAAAAATGTTTCCCCATATAAAATATGGCCAATTTCAAAGGCTATTTTAATACACTTATTTTTTAAACAATAAAATGCGGTTACTCTTTTATCCATTTAGAAAAATACTAGTGGTGAGACCTTTACAGTTTGAATTTTTTTTGGACCACCCTTATGTACATACATACATATGTATATATGTATAAACTCGTAGTTGGCTAAATTGTGTTGCAATCAATTTAAGTCGAAAGTGAATTCAACACCGCTACCTAACAGATTGTGCTTACAAATATACATTTTAAAATAAAGCGAAAAAACACAAAAAAATATACTTATATAGAGTTTACAGTGTGCGTGCGCGTGTCTTGCGTGCATTTATGCTCGCATTTAATTTTGACTTATTGCACGCATTTGTTTCCATTTATTTTAGAGTTGACTTTTCGATAATTTTTTTTTTATTGATTTATTTATTTGCTTTATGTTTTTATATTTATTTATTACTTTAATTTGTTGCGTCGCGAGTTTTTTATTGTCCCTTTCGGTAGTTTGTATTTATTACAAATATATTTTTAGCGAATATAAATATATAGATACATACCCTAAGCGAGCTCTATGCGCTTTAAGATTTTCTATGACATTTTTTGAATATTTTACTATTGCCAGAAATTTGCTAGCAACTGCTACTTTCACATTTCTCTTCTTCTTATTTTTGTTTCAGATGGTGAGATCCTGCGCGTACTGGTCAATACTTCAGCGCAAATTAAATGCGATGTCGGTTCCAGTTTGCCAGACGATAAAGTTTTACTGGTCGTTTGGTACAAGAATAATCTTCCAATTTATAGGTAAGTACATAAATTCATTTCAATTTTATTTTATTGATTGGCATATTGGTTTGTGGGTGAAATGCTTTAAGCGATACGGTCTATTTTAATAGATATGTATAGAATTGAGATTTTCAGTGAAAATCGCAACAGTTGAAGTAAAGTTGAGAGTTCTCTCCCGTATTTAGGTGATTTTATTTAAAAAAAAAAGTGCAGAGTTTGTACGGATATGGGTTGAAGTGGCATAACATTTTGATAAGTAGCTACATATGTGCATGCAGACTTATTTTTTGCACCCTTAGTTTCCTACTTAAACCCTATACGCCTGATTAATACCACTGAGTTTTTTTTCATTCTTCAGTTGAGTAACTATACTCGTTAATCGTAATACCAAACATATTTTAGAGGCCTTAACCATTAAAATTTGTTAAATATCTTTAAACTGGTCCATCGTATCTAAACCGCTTATGCAAATCACAAATGTTGCTCTGCGGATCCTTTAGAAGTTGCTCAGATCCTAAGAAATTTATTAGCTCTGCCGCTACTATACCTGCTTAAAGGTTTTAGAGCTTATACGTGGTATATATCTATTTAATTGATCTATGAGCTTAATATGAATAGAGATGTCAGTAGCAGTGCTGCTTTGGTCATTACAGGCATTACTGGAACGCCCTATGGCTGCATAATACAATCACGATGAATAGCGAAGATTTTCGTGGCCATTTGCAGATTGTCAAATAATTCTTTACTGATCCCACTATCATACATCATGCTACCGAAATTATGCTTCTACAAGCTCTACAAGGTCAGAATTCTTGAAAGGGACTGCAATGGTGGATCGAAGATGGACGATGGTAGTACTGTGGTTGGCTGAGTTGGACCAAGATTCCGTAAAGTCTGCCAATGGGCACATACCCAACTTTATTCCAGGCAGAAGTCTTCGCAATCGAAGTCTGTGTTCGCGAATATTTTCTTAGAAATATAAATGGGGTTAGAATAAGTATTACGTCGGATAATCAGCCTGCACTACAGGCCTTAGACTCATTTAAAATGGCAGAAATGCTTGTGGGCCATTGTGAAACTCTTTTGAACTACCTATGTGCCCACAATAGAGTAACACTATGGTGGAACAGGATAGAACTTAGATTGCTTCCCATTGGCGGAAATTAAAGGGAATTAGACAATCGAAGATATTCAAAACTCCTACCAGAAGGAACTCCAAAAGACTCCTTGAACTTAGTTGGATCTTAAGAATTGCAGTGTTAAGTACTACGCTATGAGTAATCACTTTCGCGTAATCAATTGTTATCGTTTTTATTAAAGTTTGCTCAAACGCTTGAACCTCGTACATGGCGCCATGGCGTATGAGTAACATTATTTTCTGCTCTTGTTTCATAGAAAAAAATCATTGAATATACCAATTGATTACTCGAAAGTGGTAAGTTGGGGCGTAGTGCTTCCTACTCTAGTTATGTAGAAAAACTCTTCCTCTACAATTAAGTATTTTTATCATTTTGATTAATGCATTGATTTTACGCCAAGGAACTCTGGCGTTGAGTTAGACCAAATTTCCTAGTTTTTCACAAATTTAAAAATTACAAAAAAAATATGCTATTGCTATTTCATTACAGGAGTAGGCTTTAAAAAAAATAGATCAGTATGTGTTTTTTTGAAAGCAACTTTTTATATTAAAAAATTTTATAGAAATACGATTTTGAAAATTGTTTTCGATTTTATATTTCAAATGTGTTTTGGACAACATTAAAACACTGTCTCAATTGATTAATTTTTCGCAAAGTTATTTATAAAAAAAGAAAAGTTTTGTTTTCAAAAATCGACATTTCGAAAACGGCTGGACAAAGAAAAATCAGGAGGGCCTCTCTCAATTGTTCACATAACACAAAAAATTTGCAAAAGAAAAATGGTGTCCGAATTAGGACGAAATGCTCCATATGTAAATCCCAATTGAATTTAAATAACAAATAGCGATACTAGAAGTAAAACTTATGCAACTTTTGGTGAAATACATAGGTGTATTAATACAATAGAATGTCAAATTCAATACCCTTTGAATATTTTCCAAAGCCCAGTTTTATTCATACATAGTCCTTGCGGGGACATTTTGGTTCATAATTTTCCACACACCCTCCCTGGATTTTGATTTCTCATTCAAACGATATTACGATATTTAATATCTAGACGACAACAATATCTTATACATATAAATTATTTTTTTCTCGCATTCTTACAGTTATGATACACGTGGTGCGCATGCGGGTACGCCTTCGCATTGGCGAGATGAGGAAGTGCTCGAAGATCGAGCTCTATTTCGCACACACAAAGAGCCAGCTGAATTGATTATAAATCCAGTGAAGGTATGTTGATCGTCTCAAAATTTGTATTTTAAAATTGTTGCTAGCCAAAGATTTACAACTAAAAAACGAAGAAAAGCTTAATCATTTTATATTACATATACATACAGTGACTAAAACAAATGACCACGTGTTGATTTTCTTTAAATATTCGGAATGTTTTTCGAGCTAAATTTTTCATTGTTGTTTTTATATGAAAATATCGTGCAAGCTTTAACCAAGTTTCAAACTTCATACAAACTTTAGAAAAAATTCAACAAACTTTCATCAAAAATTTATACTTTTTATTCTGAATTTTTAGAAAATATTTGGGTATGCGGTTTTATAGCCCATACAATTTTAGTCTAATGTAGTGCCACTTTCAAACGGCTAAAAAATCGCGTTGTTTTTTGAGAATTTTTTTTAATAACGGATTGTTTCACTTTTTTCATATAAGTATGAATTTCTTATGAAATAAAACGAGGGCGACCGTCAGCAACAAAATTTCAAAATATCAACGCAAGTTTTTGTAAATTGCGCTTGTCATATTAAAAAATCCGAAAAAGTAGCCTCCAAAAAAATTCGCAAAAATCAATGCAATTTTTTAGGCGTTTGAAACTTGCACTTTATTAGACTAAAATCATATGAAATCAAAACTGCATACCCAAAAATTTTCTAAAAATTCAGAATAAAAATTTAAATTTTGGGTTTGGGTTAAAGCTTAGACGATATTTTTATACAAAAATAAGAAAAAAAATTTAGCTAAAAATTTTTATGAATATTTATTTATTTTGGTCATTTGTTTGAGTCACTATATGTTGTAAGAGTGCTAATCAACTTATCGAGTATAGATAATCATAATTATGAATTTAGAATATCAATACACATTTTTCACATAGAACTCAGATATATACTCATAAATAAATTTTGTTTCCTTATCAACAGGAAAAGGATGCAGGCAATTTCCGTTGCAGAGTTGACTTCAAACTCTCGCAGACTAGAAATAGTAATGTCAATTTGGAAGTTGTGGGTAAGTGTCTTTAGGAAATATACAGACATATGTACACACATACATACATACATATAACATGTTTTCCGCATTAAAATTTCTTTGCTTTGCTTTTGCTTAACATTCGCGTTTTCTTGTTTTAATTTAATTTCAGTGCCACCACAACAGCCAACCATTTTCAATGAACGCCACATGCGGATAGAATCGCGCGCCGGTCCGTACGAGGAAGGCGGCAGTCTGGAAGTGACATGTGTCGTTTATGGCGGTAAGTTTCGTGGCTATATTGATTAAATGTTTATACGTATGTATGTGCATACAAAAATAAATAGAGCATATAATTTAAGCAAGGATGGTAATAGTTATAACTAAAATGATTTAAATCAGCATATCATCATTGTTTCAGGATTTTTATTTTTTGCTCGTAAATAATTAAGCTAAAGGACTATTTTTGCTCAAAAGAAATTTCTGTAAAGTAGATTTTATTTTTCGATCTGAAATAATGATTATTTTATGACTTAAATTTTTTCGCACAGTAAACAAAAATTATTATTGGGTTTTATATTTGCACTTAAAAATGACTTCGAACCTGACATTATGGAGGTTAACGGACCTCAGTTTCGGGTCCAGCGAGTCCAATAACATTAGGAATTAAAGATTTGGTTCAATATCAAAAAAAGTAAAATTTTTTAAGACTGTGTTAATTACTTATAAAACTTAAAATGCCATAGAGACGCAACCAACTGAAACTTTGACCCGAAATAAATAATAATGATTATTTTCCGAAAGTGGAAACCTTAAGAAATATGCAAATTTTTTTGAGTCAAAACATGAAAGAATTAAAAAATTGTAGCATAAAAATAATTTACTATACTTGACAGAATTGTGGGAAAGTTTATGGCCAATTCTTAAATCGTAAATGGTGAATGGGTTGCTCGTGCACTGATTTATTATCGCGCTAGTGGCAAGAGAATGCGTTCATCAAATTCCATGTAGCCATTTCAGCAGCGACAGCAAAAGCTAACGCAGAGTGTCATGTTGACAATAACACTTCAAGGTCCTAGCCATAAATTCACTTAACTATCGCAAATTGAAATCTTTCAAACAATTGACATTTTCTACGAAAGTCAAGTGGCATACACGTGTGGTCGGTATTATGGTTAAATGTGTGTTTTTTATGGTGTTTGGTTTTTTTTGTGTGTTCACTTTTTTATTAGGCAACTCGTTCATATGTACATATGTATATTAGAGTGATCCAATAAAATAAAGTCAAAGGTTTAATGCCGGCACACCCTAGGATTGATCTATATCGAAAAACAATATACCCCTATTTTTTTATTTAAAATCAAAAAATATTTAGGGAGTGCTCAAAGCGCTCAAAGTTTTCCATGTATTTTATATGGAAAAAAAAAAATTGCGTAGAAATGGTATAAAACTCTTGAAAATCAAAATTTTTCGATCGGAAAACTGTGGTTCTTTTCAGGAGACTTCCAGTATTAATATCCAATTGTTTATTGAACAATTTTTTATGATTAAAGATTTTTTATTGGTCCCCCCATTGCATTTTCTAAGGGCTTTGGAGGACCTATAAAATATAGTTACCATGAAAAAATTGTTGAAGAAAGAATTGAGTATTATTATTGGGAATCTTCTGAAGATAAGTAAAGTTTTTCGATCGAAAAATATTGATTTTAAAGAATTCTACACTATTTCTATGAAAAGATGTTTTTTCTGCATATAAAATATATGGAAAACTTTGAACGCTTTGAGCACTACCTAAATTATTTTTTATTTCAAAATAAAAAAATGTGGGTATATTTATTCCGGTATATAACAATCCTAGGCGGTGGCGGCATTAAAAATGTGACCTTATTTTTTTACATACATTTTTGGACCACTTTATTGTACATACATTTAAACATGTATTTAAATTGCGAAAACTCAAGAATGCATCAGGTTATCAATAAAATATATTCAAAGGTGATAAAGGTAACAGAACAATGTGGTTTTCGTGTGAAGATAGATTCGAATTTGAAATACAACAGTTGTCTGGTGGCTCTCGATATAAACACGAAAAATGGTTTTCAATATTTTTACTTATAAGTTGTCTACGCCTAAGTAAAAGTATGTATATAAATCTATGGGTATACCACTCACAACTATTTGGTCGCATGATGCCATGTAGACCCGAGTCTTAAGCATATACCTACCCAAAATATATAACTTATATACAGCTGCCTTAAGGTGCGTGCAAGGAATTAAAGAAATACTTTTAGAAGATTCGTTAGGAGTAGATATAGCATGCCATCTAGGAATGTTTGCTACTGTCGAGGGCCGTCCGCTAGTAAAGCACAGAAATTCACGTCAGCTGCAAAACGATCGGCTTGACATCTTCTCAGATATGTGTTATATATCTTAGGTCCGACGTCTTTGAAAAACTAATCGAATGTGGATCTGGTATACAAAATACAATTGAATGGCGTCCACTTACCAGTTGGTGTTATCAGAATTGTTGGTCATCAATACTTGCCTGGAAAGGAAGCCCGGACTCGGCGCTGTCCGTGGCGGGCACTGGCTTATTGCCTTCCATATAAGAATGCTATGCCAACAGAGATGAATATCAAAAGGAAAAAAGTAGGCCATCTTCAGTTTTCAGTCCAGCTTTAATGAGAATCAGGTGCAGCGCTTTGAGAGACATTGGCATAAATTTTGAAGGACCTGTGCATGTACAGCCACTAAAACATTTACAAATAAATAATAAAATGGCACATCAATATGAACAAATTTGTTACTGCGCTCTGTGTGTTTGCTCCATTTCTAGTGTTTATGTAACTAATCTCGTGCGTAATTAATATATGTACATAAATATCTACACAAACATATATACATACAAATGTAAATACCTAACCATGTATATATATACATGCGCGTAAAGCTGAATTTTTCATACGAGTATATATCCATAAACTTTAGTTGGGCACCTTTGTTAAGTGGCGCTTATGTACATATATTTTTTTTATTTGAAATGTCTTTATTGAGGCTTTAAGTGTACATAATCATAAACATGTGCGCATTAATTAATTAATCTAAAACCATCTACATTTGATATAACTTACAATAGTTACTAAAGCCAGACTTAAAGCAATTACCATTTTCATTTTGTTTGTAAGATTAATAGTTTGGTGGGATTTCTTGATTTAATTTTATTCATATACTCTTACATACATACAATATAAGCAAATATAAATTTATGTATTGTGTGTATGCTCACAAAAGTTGTATTCCTGTTAAGCATGGAATTGGAACTACGAGTATTTTCTATGGCATAGTGAATTTATAGTTTGACTGGACAAGCGGTATGGTATGTCTTTAGTTAAGTAGGTAGTAGTTAATATATCAACTGGCAGATCAAACTCATGTAAAGAATTCAGTTCGGACTTTATTAGATATTGTCAAAATAAGCCACTGAGTTCTCTTCATTCTTACAAAATAATCAAATATCTCCCTAAAGAAAATGTGTCTCAATAGTACTATGCAAATAATTTTCGAGTTTTTTTTCAACTCTGGAGCCTTAGAATGGTGAATTAGTCTAGACTCTAGAGAAGGGAGAACCAGATTGAAAGCGTTTATAAAACAAAAAATATTTTTGGTAATAACCTGCTTGTTACAATCTATGTAAGCCGAATGGCATACAAGGCATACAAAGCTCTGACGCCTTTTGTTCCTGATACAATTCCGGAGGAGTTTTTAAAGATATTTTGTTTTAAGGTGCCATCAACTTATCAAGTATTTATTTGTTTATGTAGCAAATGCGAAGTATTTATTAGCTAACGGTACTTCGCTGTTGCTCGGAACCATTTTCGTAATACCAAGAGTTCGTAAAAAATGTTGTCGACATAAAATGTGGATTACCTAACCTGTTAAGTAAGTGGCTATCTTAATTATCAATATAAGAACCATTCCATAATTGGTACGGGACAAATAGTGCGAATTGTTTTCAGTTTACGGTTTACGGACAGGCGTCGTCACTTGACCCATTTTCATATTTGACTTTCAAATGTTTAAAGAATCATATCGTTCGTTTAACAATAAAGAGATGTAATTTAGAAGTCAAGTTTTGGAAGTTTTCATCACACATGAGTAAGCATCATAAGGAGAATATGCTCAGCCTAACAAATGACTAAACTTAAAAAAAAATAATAATTGCGAAGATATGTGTCTTTCCATCTGTATCCTTGGTATACCAATTGTACGAACTTACAAAACTTTGATTGCGTTTTCGCACAAAACATTGAAATTTTGAAATAATTCTGTACACTAATAAACGTGCGATTTGAGTTTTATTAATTTTGATTTTCACACACATACACACATACATATATCGTGCATATAAATTGAAAAATCACCGCAACTTAAAATTTTTGAGTTTGGATAATTTTGAATTTCTTGCAGTTTTCTACCTTAAATAACTTGAGTCGAATTCCAAAATTTTCAAAACTTTCAAAACTTTGTGAATTTTCGAAATTTTAGTAAAACACAATAATTCAATATAATGATGAATACTAGATTTCTAGAAAATTGTTATTTTTCAAAAATTTTGTGAATTGCAGGAATTCTAACAAATTTTTTCTAAGTAAAAGTGTCGAATAGACAAAATTGATCAAACGAAATTAAAAGTTTTCGCATGTTGAAAACATTTTCATATCTGGTCCTTTTTGAAAATGAAAAAATTTTTGTAATTCTTAAAGGTTCAAAAAATGTTTGGCCACTGATTAAAAAAGTTTTAATTTCTCAAACTTTGTTATATAAATAAAAAATTTTAGAAACGTTCCGAAAAGTGGAAAATTTCTGGAATTTTTCAAAAATGTTATTATATTTTAGAATTCTAAAAAATTTCTATTTTTTATACACAAGTACCATGAACATAAGAATTTTTCGATAATTTGTGATGTTTCTCATTTTTACATTTTAGGATGGATTTTAGGAATAAATAAAATTCTCAAAATTTTGGAACATCTAAAATCTCAATAATTTTGTACTTTTCTAAATATCCTCATTTTACCATTTTTAGAATCACCCGGATTTCGATAGTTTTTAAAATTTTGGAAATTATCCTAAAAATAAG